TCAAATCTGCTGTAAGCTTTTCATAAATATTGGTACATGCTACTTACTAATAAGTTTCTTGAATGTGTCTAGATATGTGAGCAGTGATTTCGGCAACCACCCACTATCACATCTAATGGGTTCCGTTTTTGGGATGCATGACAAAGAGAATGTTGAGGTTAAGTTAATTTGTTACTTTTCCTTATCCTTTGCACCATTCACGACTTCGCCACTTGTTCATGCTAAATCTCCAAGTACTTCTTTTCCTAGGTGTTCTGCTATGCCTTAAGTCCAAATGATGGTACAGAGTGGAGGATTCGCACTCAGACAGAAGTTGAGCATTTTATTGATGTATCGTCCTTGACATCTGACGTGATAGCAAGGATGATTAATGAGGATCAAATACAGATACTTATCAATCTCAATGGTTATACCAAGGTACAGATTGGACTCGATCCAGATCAATCCTAATTAGTTTTTATATTTGTTTTGCTAGTGTTGGTTGTGTGTGCCTAGTCCATGCACGAGGTCCATATGTTAGACCCATTAACATAATGAAAAGAAATGGAATGGAAAAAGTAGTTTCCTTTCTTGGAAATAGTCCACAATAAACAAATAAATCAGTGATTTCTGTTCCATCTTAGTTAGCTTAGTTGTGGACATGAATGCAAACTCGAATACTTACCAATGAGAATTTGATCAGCCACGGCCTTCCATTTGCTGGTTTGAGCAAATGAGTATAATAATGATATTGCCTAACTAAAGTGCAAACCTGTGAAACAGGTCTCACTGTCTCATGAGGTGCACATTTTGTTGGTGTGTATCTTATAGGTGTTGTTTTAAGCAAAAAATACGTGTGTTACATCTTTCACCTTTTCGAAGATGCTGATTAATGTGCCCATATTTTGCTTTGCCTTCTATCCTGAGAGGTATTTTTTGAACGACTTCGTTTATCTATTGTTGTCATCTTTGACTTTGGACTTATGTGTTGCAGGGGGCAAGAAACGAGATATTTGCCATGCAGCCAGCTCCAATCCAGGTTTCATACATGGGGTTCCCTGGAACCACAGGGGCAACATACATAGATTATTTGGTTACAGATGAGGTAATTTGCTAATGACACCCTTGATATTACATATTTGCTGTTAACCTTTGCTCTCTATGGGTCCTTGATGTAAGTTCCTTGTATGCAGTTCGTTTCACCTATGAAGTACGCACATATTTACTCAGAGAAGCTTGTACATCTCCCTCATTGCTATTTTGTCAACGATTATAAGCAAGTAAGTTTCCCGTGATCTTTCTGAGCTATATATGAATCTTATTTCAAAATGAATCAATTATGCCTCAATCCTAAATTCATAGTTGGAGTAGGCTATGTGTATTTTTTCATCTCTTCTCGCAGTAGGTCATTTGTATCCAATATTAGATAATATTTAGTTATTAATGCATTTGATCATGAATAAAAATCTTATTGATTTCTTAAAAAAAGATCTGAGCTGGTATATATGTTTAACTCTTCTGGATTTGTTATATTTTTCACTGCTGATGGGCGTCTTGCTGCTGTTTTTTGTAGAAAAACTGTGACGTGCTAGATCCAAACAGCCAACTGAAGCGCTCAGATTATGGGTTGCCAGAGGATAAATTCATATTTGCATGTTTCAATCAGCTTTACAAGATGGATCCTGAGATTTTTATTACATGGTAGTTAATTGGAATGATTTAAATTGGTCTACTTTTACCCTGACAAGCACTTGCTAAAAAACTTGCTGAATTGGTATGTGCAGGTGCAATATCCTTAAGCGTGTACCAAACAGTGCTCTTTGGCTTCTCAGATTTCCAGCTGCAGGGGAGATGAGGCTCCGCGCACGTAAGTATTTTCTTCCACACCATGCATTTCTCTAATCTTCTCTTGTGAGACTTATTGGTTTATGAAAAGTCTCCTAATTCAGCTCACTTTTATTACAGATGCTGCTGCCCAAGGCCTGCAACCAGACCAAATTATTTTCACAGATGTTGCAATGAAACAAGAGCACATCAAGCGCAGTTCCTTGGCTGATCTTTTCTTAGACACGTAAGAAGATTAAGAACATTCAGCTCCTTGTCTTTCAAGAATCTTGTTCCATTCATCTCATTTACTTGAATTTTGGTGTGGTTTTTTTCCACTTGTAGGCCACTGTGCAATGCACATACCACAGGAACAGATGTTCTTTGGGCTGGTCTACCAATGATAACCCTTCCCCTTGAGAAGATGGCTACTAGAGTTGCTGGTTCTCTGTGTTTGGCGACAGGACTTGGTGATGAGATGATTGTCAGCAGGTATGTGTTGTATACTTGCTGTAATTGCTGGGAAGGGTACAGTGTATGACCGATAGAACCTATGCTCAAGGACAAGTACTTTATGACTGATATCATTATATTGACTTTGATGTTGCAACATAAATGAGAGTTGACCTTTTCTTTCCTTTTTGGTTTACTTTGCATTTTGCAGTATGAAGGAATATGAGGAGAAGGCGGTGTCACTGGCACTAAATCGTCCAAAGCTCCAAGATCTCACCAATAGACTCAAGGCTGTACGAATGAGTTGCCCTTTATTTGATACAACACGTTGGGTGAGTAATTAAACACATCAGATTTACTTTACTGAACGACCTTGTTGATTCTAGTGCTTTGAGTGGACATGGAAAACTCATTCTTTCTCCTTTGCACTTTCAGGTGAGGAATCTGGAACGTTCTTACTTTAAGATGTGGAATCTCTATTGCTCCGGCCAGCATCCTCAGCCCTTCAAAGTGACGGAGAATGACTCAGAATTTCCTTTTGACCGCTAGATGTAGTAGGGAAGGAAGAGAACATGATTGTACATAAAACAAGAGAACATAAAAATTCCTATTTATATAGAAGTATATAAATTACTGCATTTAGGTGTTTGTTGAAATGTGATTCAAGTCTCAAGTGTTGAGCATATTACCCATTCGTGGTACTGGAAACTCTCGATGAAAGTTCATTAGTTGCTCAAGTGCAAGCAGATGTCAAGACTCGAGACGAGACTCACCCAGTGTCTTGTTTGGCTTGAATGTGAAAATGCGTAAGAGTGAGAGAGAGAGACTGGAGGGAGAAGGGTGCTGGATAGCTGTAGAGTTCAAAAATTGGGTGTCAATGAAATGTTAGGAGTCATTGTTGTGCATCTTTATTCATCAACTTGTCTTTGACATTTTCAGTTGAGTTTATGCAGGCATCCAATGCCCCCAGTAAATCAACACATTGTGTTTGTTTCAAATGTTATATTAGTTAGTCATCCTCCTTCAAAATTTTCAAATGTTCCTTCATAAAATAAATTAGCAAATTCAAATAAAGTATATTAGGATGTTTGAGGTTGTATAACACACTCAGAATAAAATGGTAGAATCCCCCCCCCCCCCCCCCACCCCCTAAATTGTACATAAAAAGAGGTTTCAACAAAGAGAAAACAGTTCAAAGAGTTGTAACAAATGAATGTACTCAAAATTTTGCAAGTTGCAATGAATTAAACTTTGGCTAAAAACTTACTATATTACTCCCTCCGTTCTTATTTACTGGTTAAATATTTTCTAGTTTAATTTCCCTATTACTTGTTATTTTTGACAAATTAAGGAAGGACAATCCCCCCCCCCCCCTCCCCCTCCCCCCCCCTTCATTATCCTCAATTAATATTAAGAAATATAGTGAGTAAATATGTTTTGACACCTTATCAAATAAGGATAAAATGATAAGTTTACTATCATTATTTTTTAATAGATGTGTTAAGTTAAAATTTGACAAATAAAAAGGGACGAAAGGATTATTTATTAATAAGCTGTTAGTCTAATCACTTCCCCTCATATCCTTTTACTTATTTCTTCTTCTTTGATTATTATATTCATTTATAAACCAGCATATGATTATCAATCATATCAAGTCATTTATCCTAATTAAATTTTTAGGATAAATTTAAATCCTGAAATAAAATAGATAAAGATATTCATTTAAATCTTTTTTATACATAATTTTCAAATTCATGTATGTTTACATTATTTTTAATACTATGTACAATAACATTCACAACATTCACTATTTCTTATTCTTATGATAATTCTTCATATTTTTTTACTAAAAAATTACACTATATAAATATAATTTTTATTTATGAATTTATTTGACTAATGCTTATGTTTATTTATATTTTTATTTCTCATAAATCCTTTTTTACTTCAACAAATTTAAGATCAAAATTCTATTTTTAAGCTAAATAAGAAAATATTTAACCTAATAAAATATTTTATTTTTATTTTTATTACAAATTGTGGGATTTTACCGAAAGTTTTTACTCCTATATGACGAAGAAAGGTATTATGGCGTCCATTGTATCAGTTCTGTTTCAAGTTCCAGACTTCCGAACGGCGTCGTTTCTTTGTTGGTGTAGGATTGATTTCGAAAATTAGGTTTTGAGTTCAGAAATTTGGTAGTTAATTGCAATGGTGCTGAGTTAATCAATGGCGGCTAAAGGGAGGTAGCGTCTCTACACACTCACTCTTTATTTCCTCTGTTAATTTGAGCTCAATAGAGCTGTCTTGTTATTGATGCTTAGTATGAAGTTTATCTGAAATGGTTGTATGAATAAAAAATGCAATTTTATTTGTTTTTTGTGATTTCATGGAATTTTGTGGTAAATACTATTGTTTACACATAACCAACTCAACAATTGCTGTGGTTAAGTGATTCTGTAAAGTGAAAATATGAATTAATAAACCATTGATATGTGTTTTGGAAGTTTATATGCTGTGACATTCATCTAATTGGTTTGGTATAAACACTCGTGCGAGTAAGTTTTTATGTATTTTTTCCATTTTTTGAGATTTTTGTTTGAAGGATTTTGCTGAATTTTCCATGTAATTTGTAGGACTCGAACGTTGATATAGTTGCATTCTATGCTCTTTAGCGTAGTTAATTCAGCTGGAAATTGAGTTAGTTTACCTCAATTGGATTTGAACCGATTTGCTACTCAGGAATGTTTTCAATGTTCGCCAGAATCTTTCTTCAAAGGACTTTGTATTCGGCTACATTATCCAACAACACCAGCATTTTTAGGTGTCTTAAAACTATAGCACCTTCCATTGACCAGTGTAGCAATCCTTTCAGTGGTAAAGGTAGTTGTGGCAGAAGTGTGCCTAATGATGATTACTTTGCAACAATTCATCATGTATCTAACATTGTACGGCGGGATATTTACCTGGAGCGGACCCTTAACAAGATGCATATTTCAAGTATTGTCAACTCTGAACTGGTGTACCGTGTCCTTAGAAGTTGTTGCCAACATGGTATTGAATCTTTTCGTTTCTTTAACTGGGCTCGGACTCAACACCCTCAGTATGACCCAACTACCGTTGAGTTTGAAGAACTTCTTAAGACCCTTGCCCGGACTGCCCACTGGGAGACAATGTGGAAAGTAGTCCAGCAGATGAAAGCCCAAAATATTCCTATCTCACCGTCCATTGTTTCATTCATTATTGAACACTATGGTAAGCGTGGTCTCATTGATCAGGCTGTCGAGCTTTTCAATCGGCTCAAGAACTTCAACTGTCCTCAAACTACTGAAGTATACAATGCTATGCTTTTCGCACTCTGTGAGGTCAAGAATTTCCAAGGGGCCTATGCATTGATTCGGAGGATGATACGGAAAGGTACTGTTCCAGATAAGCAGACATATTCTATTCTTGTAAATGGCTGGTGTTCTGCCGGGAAGATGAGAGAGGCACAAGAGTTCTTGGAGGAAATGAGTCGAAAGGGCTTCAATCCTCCTGTACGTGGGAGGGACCTTCTAATTGATGGGTTGCTCAGTGCTGGATATCTAGAATCAGCTAAAGGATTGGTGAGAAAAATGACAAAGGAGGGGTTTGTGCCAGATGTTGGAACATTCAATTCTTTGGCAGAGGCTATATGTAAAACTGGGGAAATCGACTTTTGCATTGACCTTTTCAATGATGTTTGTAGATCGGGGCTTTGTCCTGATATCGAGACTTATAAGATTGTCATAACTTCTGCTTCAAAGGTAGGTAGGATTGATGAGGCATTTCAGATTCTTCATAGGTCAATTGAAGCTGGACACCGGCCATTTCCCAGTTTATATGCTCCAATACTAAAAGCTTTCTTCCGGAGAGGACAGTTTGATGATGCATTTAGCTTTTTCAGTGATATGAAGCTGAAAGGGCATCCACCAAATCGACCTCTTTATACCATGTTGATAAAGATGTGCTCTCGTGGAGGTAGATTTGTAGAGGCGTCTAATTATTTAGTAGAAATGACCGAGTTAAATTTGTTGCCTATGTCACGAAGCTTTGACATGGTGACAGATGGATTGAAGAATTGTGGAAAGCATGATCTAGCCAAAAGGATCGAGCAGTTGGAGATATCTGTCAAGGGCATCTGAATTATTGTTGTGGATTGAGCAGTTGGAGATATCTCTCCAATAGACTCAAGGCTGTGCGAATGATCTGCCCTTTGTTTGATACAACACGTTGGGTGAGTAATTAAACACATCAGATATACTTTACTGAATGACCTTGTTGATTCTAGTGCTTTGAGTGGCCATGGTAAACTCATTCTTTCTCCCTTTGCATTTTCAGGTGAGGAATCTGGAACGTTCTTACTTTAAGATGTGGAATCTCTATTGCTCCGGCCAGCATCCTCAGCCTTTCAAAGTGACTGAGAATGAGTCAGGATTTCCTTTTGACCGCTAGATGTAGTAGGGAAGGAAGAGAACATGATTATAGATAAAACAAGAGAACATAAATTCCTATTTATATAGAAGTATATAAATTACTGCATTTAGGTGTTTGTTGAAATGTGATTCAAGTCTCAAGTGTTGATCATATTACCATTCGTGGTACTGGAAACTCTCGATGAAAGTTCATTAGTTGTTCAAGTGCAAGCAAATGTCAAGACTCGAGACTAGACTCACCCAATGTCTTGTTTGGTTTGAATGTGAAAACTCACAAGAGTGAGAGAGAGACTGGAGGGAGAGGGGTGAAGGATAACTGTCAAGTTCAAAAATTGGGTGGTCAATGAAATGTAAGGAGTCATTGTTGTGCCTCTTTATTCATCAACTTGTATTTGACATTTTCAGTTGAGTTTATGCTGGCATCCAATGCCCCTAGTATATCAACACATTGTGTTTGTTTCCTTCATTTTTTTTTAAAAATCTAAATATTGCTCTATTCTGTGGCAGTGGCCATCATCCAATGTTGTCTATTCCAAACCTAGGTTTGGCTAGCCAAGATTGTCTATCTTTTGCTTTTCCGATAGCAAATTTTAAGCTCAAATCGACCACGGGAAACATTCCTATTGTTTTTAGCAGATATTGATAGTAATGAATGTGTTTTTTCGGAAACAAGGCCTGGAGTTGTAAGAAGCTACACGGTGAAACAAATATGTTGAATTGCTCGAAGATGAAAAATGACATGGGATGGTTGTTCTTATATTGGCAAACGTTTTTTTTTTCAAAAAAGTTCTTGTGATACAAATTATTTTTCAAAACTTATAAAATAGTGTATGACTCGAACACACACATAATCAATAAGACGCTTAACATTTTTACTACTATGTGGGCCAGCATTGCACTTTTTTGTTAAGAAACTTTTCAGTTCTTATTTGGTTGACTATGGTCTTTCTGACTTCTCTGTCGTTTGAGTTTCTTTTTGTATTTTGTCTTTTAATATCTATACAGTACCATTACACATTGCATGCATATCTAATCTTGTTGTCCCTTATGGAGAGAACTGATCTTATCAAGGCCTTAAAGTGCTACAAGGTATGAATAATTTAACTTTTACTTAGTTGTGTATATATTTTAGTTTACTGTGATTATGTTTTGCATGTCTACTTTTGCATTTACATATATAAACACTTTAGCTTGGCCTCAAATGACAACTTTGAAAATGCACATTTACACATTTTAACTTTGGTTTAAGAATTAAGCACACTTTCCTGGATGTGCATTCTCTGAGTTGCGGTGTTTATGGGGCCAACTTAAACCAAGTTAAGTTGTTTAGATGCACATTTTCAAAGTTGTGGTGTTTAGTTGTCAGTTGAGGTTGTCTTTGTTATTAGAGAAATCATGTATGATAATGTCCTCTTCTTTATGGTTCGATCCTCTCCAGGAAGCAGTCAAATTAAAACCAAACTCCTCTGATGCTTATCTGTGCATGGGAAGTGTATACAAGGTAAGTCCTCTTGTATTGTGTCAATAAGGTCCAAAGGCTAAAAGTAGTGACGAAGCCAATATTTTCACTAACCGAACTCAAAATATAAATAAGTAAAAATCAAAAGTAATTTTAACCCCGTATATAGTATAGTGTATACTATATAAGTGTATTTTTTAGACAAAGGGGATGTGAAGAAATACATGATAAGCATCTTCTTTGCATTTTCCAGAATTTGGGAATGCCCCAGAAGGCCATAGTGTGTTACTAGCGTGCACTGCAAGTGGAACCAGACTATGCTATGGCTTTTGATGAGACTCCATTTTCACCATGTCGAGTCACATATCCTCTGCGAGAAAGGAAATTGGATTCTTTATATGGTCTTGAGCAATTCTCACCTCTTGAGTTGTCTCTGCAGTCCTCTTGGGTCTTGTATACCATGAACAAGGAAATCTGGAAATGGCAATACGTAATTACAGGAGAGCTATTGCCCGTGATGCTGAATGCTTCGAGGCGTATAGAAATCTGGTACTTAGCTCATTAAATTCATATCCTATATTAGCATTTTGTTTTTCTATATTAATTTGATATGGCTTTGAAAATGTTGCTTATAGGGTAATGCTCTAAAAGATGCTGATAGAGCGCAGGAAGCAATTGATTGCTATCATGTAAGTTTGTGTTCACTTATTGGCTCGTCATATGCTTTAATATCCTTATTCTTAATCCGTTTGTCCCAATTTATGTGACACTTTTCTTTTTCCGAGAATCGATTTGACTAATCTTTGAAGCTAAATTTTACAAGATCAACTATATTTTAAAACTAAAATTTAGAAATTCAAACACTATATGATAAGTACTATAATATGCATTTCTTCACAAGTTCGACAAGATACATCTTAAAATGTCAGTCAATGTTCACATAGTTTGAGTTTTGAGATGCGAAAAGTGTCATATAAATTGATACAAAGAGTAATTATGCCTTTCGGATGATTTCTCAACCTTTCTGATGAATGTATGCAGCAATGCATCTCTCTTCAACCTAACCATCTGCAAATACTATCCAATCCGGGAAACACTTTTATGAAGCAGTAAGATTTTTCTTAATCGCGATGATTCTCTTCTTAGCTAGCAATTTTCAAGAGTTACTATTCCTATTGTCTAGGAACATGATGAGTGACCTTGAACAATGTTATAAATCGATTTTAGCAGTCACAACAAGGATCTCAGCTCCTTTTATACGTGCAACAGGTAAGCATTTTGTTAGTACTTCCCAAGAATGCTTAATTTGCAGATCAGTAAAAAGCTTTCTTGTACAATTTTTAAGATAGCAGGGAGGGACTATGTTATTTACAATCACTAGTGCCATTTCTGTATCTGGTTCTTCTTTTTTGATGCAACTTTCAGGGAAATTATGGACTAGCCATGTCATGCTGTAATGAGGTACTCAGAATTAACCCCATGGCAACTGAAGGACTGGTCAATCGGGGTAATATATACATAGAGATTGGTAAAGTTAACGAAGCTATACAAGACTACACGCAAGCTATTGCCAATAGTCCAACCATGGCAGACACTCATATATTATTAGCTTTAGCTTACACGGTAAGGTATTGTCGTTAAGGTTAACAAGCTTCGAAAGTTAAAGATCCCTTTTATACGTGTTCCTACCTGTTCATTCTGCTTATTCGTAATGCTTTGATTTTTCGTGTAGTCGCAACGTTGAAGCAGATAAAAAGCTATAGACAAGCTTTGATGCTACGTCCGGACTTCCCCAGAGCAACCTGTAATCTTTTCCACTCGCTACAGGTCTGTTCACTCATTTATAGGCACTTCCGTAGTTCAGTTAGAAATCATGTCATGCTCTGTTTGCTTAGGTTCTGATCTTAAGCTTTATTGTTAGTATTTTCTTATTTTCCAAGTGTTGTTTAAGTCCGTTGCCAAACTGTTAAGCAATTAATTATGTAAGAAACTTCATAAATAATTTGCATGTGCATCTTGTGCACGAGGACGTGTGATTGGTTTCATCTTGTGCATAGTTTATTTTTCCCTTCCAATCTCATGGTATGCAGTGTGTCTGTGATTGGGATAATCAAGAGGAGATGTTTATTGAAGTTGAAGGAATACTGAGAAGACAGATTGAGGTATTACAACTACTTTCTGACCAGTACAATTTACATGATTGCTTCGCTTTTCATCACTATATTACTGGTTACTATATTTTCCTTTGATGTTGTGCCTTGTCATATACGTCTTTAGATGTCCATTATCCCGAGCATTCTGCCTTTCCAGGTAATTGCGTTCCCTCTTGATCCAATGCTTGCTCTAGATATCAGGTGAGGACATTTCTATTGGATCGATCACAAGGGTTGAACAATGTGAGGTTGATACTGACTGTTTCTTTTTGCTTGTACAGTCACAAATTTGCCAAATACTGCTCTTTGATAGCGGCTCGCTATGTACTTTCTCCTTTCACGCATCCACCACCTCTGTCAATAAAGGGATGTGGCAGGAACAGTAGACTGAGGGTTGGGTGAGTTTCTCTATACTTCTCTGATACAATGCGGAAATGACAATAAAGGATAGATAGATAGACACAAAATGGAATTTATTGTGAACTAAGGCTCTTGATTAGCCATAATCCACAATTAAGGAATCCAATAAGCACCTAATCTCTTAGATGAATCTCAAGAGGATGAAATAAGCAAGCAATCTCTCTAGGAAACCCTCAAGGGGAATGATTCCTCAAGCAAGCAATCCCTTCAACATTGTTTAGCAACAATTGCCATTGCCCCAACTCTCAAAAGAGTAAACTCAAATACTCAATTCATCATTCATCCAAAAACTAACTCCATCTAAATGAGCTCTTCTCAGTAATTTATAGTCTAGGCTAGCTATTACATCAATTCCCAAAAGTAACATATCAAAAATTGCAAAAATAGCCAAAAGTACGCATCCAGGCCTGACATGTGATCCACAGATAGAATATGCAGCCCACATGTTGCTCCGTCTTCTGATTGGCATCTCCCCCATTTGATGTACGTGGTCTCAGGTATGATCTGTAAGTGCAGTATACGCCCCATTTATGGCTCTGTATGTTGTAGCTTCTGAGGACAGAATCTACACTTCCAGCTTTTGACATAAAGTTTGATGTATAGGCTGTAAGGTGTATCTGCTCTAGCCTTATCCAGGTCGTGTGTGGTTTGTGCAGACCGTACTCTGATCCGCATGTCGAGTCAGAAATCCTCTTTCCAGATTGTCTTTCAAATGCTTCCATCTTTTTGAGCAACCTTTGCAGTGCTTGGAGATCCCAAGCTTGACTCCCCGTAACCGACCTTGGTGCAACTTGACTTGCATCATTTCCTTCTGGGGCTCTGTTCAATTTATGACACTCTTTCCGTTTTAGTTAGTCCCAAAAAGGATGACTTGTTTCTACATATTTAGTAACAATTCAATATTAAACTTCTCATTTTACCCTTAATGAGATGACATACACAAAATATCTATGACTTGTTTTAGTCCACAAGCTTCAAAAGTTTTCCTTTCATTCTTAAACTCTGGACTAGTCAAATACCATCTTATAAATTGGGATGGAGTAATGTTTATGCGTTGCTTAGGTTGATATCTGCCATAAGCTCTTCATGACTATTGCCTGCTGATTGTATGTCTTAACGTGTCTAGATATGTGAGCAGTGATTTTGGAGACCACCCAGTATCACATCTGATGTGTTCAGTTTTTGGGATGCATGACAGAGAGAATGTTGAGGTTTGGACAATTTCTTCCTTTTTTTCGATGTTTAGCACCACTGTTGGCAGTCTGTTCTTGTTCATGCTAAATTTACAAGTACTTTTCCTAGGTGTTTTGCTATGCTCTAAGTCCAAACGAGGGTACAGAATGGGAGATTTGCATCCAGTCTGAAGCGGAGCATTTTATTGATGTGTCGTCCTTGACATTTGATGCAACAGCAAGGATGATTAATGAGGATCGAATACAAATACTTATCGATCTTAATGGTTATACCAAGGTACAGGTTGAACTTCATCTAATGGTTATACCATTGTTTTCTGGATGACTTTGTTTATCTAATGTTATATTTTTGACTTCGGAATGATGTGTAGCAGGGTGAAAGAAGTGAGATATTTGCCATGCAGCCAGCTCCAATCCAGGTTTTGTACATGGGGTTCCCTGGAACCACGGGGGCAACATACATAGATTATTTGATTACAGATGAGGTAATTTTCTTGCGACACCCTTGGCATTATACATTTGATGTAACCTTTGCTTTCTATCGGGTCCTTCGAGTGTAATTTCCTTGTATGCAGTTTGTTTCACCTATAAAGTATGCACATTTTTACTCAGAGAAGCTTCTACATCTCCCTCATTGCTATTTTGTCAACGATTATAAGCAAGTAACCTTTTCTTGCTGTTTCTGAGCTTTATATCAAATCTGATTTCACCAAATTTATCAACGAATCAATTATATGTATGTTGATGAGTCTTTTTCTGTAGAAAAACCGTGATGTGCTAGATCCAAACAGCCAACCGACACGTTCTGATTATGGACTGCCTGTGGATAAATTCATATTTGCATGTTTTAATCAGCTTTACAAGATGGATCCTGAGATTTTTACTACATGGTAGTTGCTTGGAATGATTTCAATTGGTTAACTGTCACAAGCACTTGCTTTTATAAAACTTGTTGAATTGGTATGTCCAGGTGCAATATCGAAGCGTGTACCAAAAAGTGTTCTTTGGCTTCTTAGATTTCCAGCTGCAGGGGAGAAGAGGCTCCGCGCATGTAAGAGAATACCTGTTTATTGGTTTATGTAAAGTCTCTCCTAATTCAGCTCACTTGTTACAGATGCTGCTGCACAAGGTCTGCAACAAAACCGAATTATTTTTACAGATGTTGCAATGAAACGAGAGCACATCAAGCGCTGCTCCTTGGCTGATCTTTTCTTGGATACGTAAGAAGATTAAGAACGTTCCGCGTCTTATCTTTCAAGAATTTAGTTTCATTCATCTCATGTTCTTGAATGCTGTTTCTTTTTTGTCCCAAATAGGCCATTGTGCAATGCACTTACCACAGGAACAGATGTTCTTTGGGCTGGTCTACCAATGATTACCCTTCCCCTTGAGAAAATGTCTACTAGAGTTGCTGTCTCCCTGCTACAGGACTTGGGGATGAGATGATTGTCAGCAGGTATGTGTTCTATACTTTTATGACCAACAACGAGAACAACAACATATCCAGTGTAATTTCACTAGTGCGGTCTAGGGAGGACAGTATGTATGCAGACCATACCCCTAACCATTATATCGACTTTCATGTTGTGACAGTATGAAGGAGTATGAGGAGAAGGCGGTGTTACTGGCACTAAATCGTCCAAAGCTCAAAAATCTCACCAATAGACTCAAGGAGTATGAGGAGAAGGCGCTTTATTTGATACAGCGCGCTGGGTGAGTAAACAAGCACAGCAGTCTTAGTTAACTAAACGACCTTCTTGCTATGTTGTTCGAACTCCTCTCTAAAAATGTATGGAATCCTTCAAAAGTAATGTATTTTTGGAGAATCCGAGCAACAAAGTTGAATGAACATGGAATGCTCATTATATCTCCTTGCATTTTCAGGTGAGGAATCTAGAGCGTTCTTATTTTAAGATGTGGAATCTCTATTGCTCCGGCCAGCATCCTCAACACTTCAAAGTGACTGAGAATGACTCGGAATTTCCTTTTGATCGTTAAATGTGGGAAGGAGGAAAGAACATGACTTTTTCTTTTGTACAAGAGAGCGCGGAACTCAGATGCTATACTAAACTAGGCGAAACTAGGCGTTACCTGAAGAGCGGAGATGCACAAGAGAGATTTCAGGTTATATAGTTGAATGATAGTAAATGAAAGCATTTTGTCTAAAAATTGCTCCACAACTTCTGTTATCAAAAATTGAGCTTTGCGTTCCTATGGTTTTGAGTTTAAAATGTTTTTTAATACGAGATCATATCATAAGACAAAATATCCATTAAAAATTAAATTGAAATGCGTGCAAATTTACTCTAACTTAACTAATTGAAAAGTGAGTGATGGAGACAAGATAATCCTATTGGCAGTCACGCAAATCTAGGTGATTGGAATATGTGTAGTTTTTGTCTGAACAAAGAAAGTAAATAGGTTATTGGCCAAAATTACATAAAAATAATCAACTGTTAAGAATTTATATGGTCTCCTATGACCTAGTTTTGAAGAAGAGCAATATTAATTGAACATGATTATTGATAGATCAAAAAGAAATGTTAATCTAATCGAAATCTCTCTATAATAGTCTCGTTTGTTATGATTTTCTTTTTACAAGTAATACTCAAATTCTTTCTCCTTTGCATTTCCAGGTGAGGAATCTGAACGAAGATATTTCGAGATCATATATTACGTAAGATATTTTGTAGAATTAATGAGATGTGCATAAATTGACTTGAAATAGTAACTAAAAATAGTAAAATATAACCATAATTTATCTATAACAACATACTAATACATATGTCATTCATTGATTATTGCATCACATAGTACACAAGTGAACTCAAAATAGGCTACAAATTAAAGTACTTCAAAATTAGATTAACAACCTCATTTTAAACATTAGCACTAGTAGAAGTTTTAACTTTTAGCCACAATCAACCATCAAAAAGAAATTCACTTGGTAGCCGGTGAAGGAGAAGGAAAAAACGTAAGCAGTTCCTTCTTCTGCTTCTTCTCCCAAGATTTAACAACCACAACAGCATCGAACAATTTTGGTGAACTAGATGATTTAACAATAGCTGAGATTTTTAGGTAATATTTAACACCAGACACAACTTGTTTTTCCGCTTCAACAACTTGAGAAAAACTCAATAAAGAACTCAAAGCACCATTTTGTTTCCGCAAATTTCTGTTGTGTTCTTCGACGCAGTACTTACCTAGATCTTGAATTTCCTGATTTGTTTTCACGTCTTTGATTTGTGTTCTTCCGCCGAGTTTTCCGCCTAATGCGTTTGATGAAGAAAATAAAGTGAAAATGAAGAAGAGAAGGAGGATTGATGAGAGAATTTTTGTGGATTTCGCCATTGGAGATTGGGGATTTTTTTTTGATGGAGAAGAAAGGAAGAAGGGGGAATTATATATAGGAGTTTTTTTTGTTGGACACGTTATGGGGGTGGTGGCAACATGTACGTGACGCTGCGTATTTTGTGAAAAAGAGGACAAAACAGTCTGTTTCTAGTGTTTCTTTGTATATTAGACGTATTAAAGTCTAATTAATTTGAATTTATATGGCATAATACTCTATTTGAGGAAAATATTTTCTATCAAAAATTATTTTATATTTAAGGCTCGAATCTGATTTCTGTTTAAAGGAAGAGCATCACATCTATTACGTACATCATTGTTTGTTAGCTAAATAATTTTAGGATTAGGGTTTACAATATATTAGTAGTAATTTTACTCTAATTATTAATGATAGAGGGGAATTGATTAGGATGGGTTTAAGATTGACAATCTAGGAGACACGGTATGTGAAGGTTCATAAGGAATATATAAAATAATTAGTTTAGTTGGTATGTGTGATTTTAGGTTTAACGATGATATAGCTCAAGAGGTAAATTTGTGAAATTTGTAAGGTATAAAAGTCGAACATGATTTTTTATAGTAGATGGGGCGAACTTTAACGTTGGATGTTGAATCTTTAAAAAGGGTGTATATGATGCTAATGATGAAGGGCGATATGACTTGTGTATTCAATTTCATTGTTATAACTAATAAGATGCAAAATTACTGTTGTAATTGTTTCTCTTCGATGAATTATAGACTAATAGAGAAATTAATCATTTAAACGATGTCACATAAACTGAATCATGATAGAGTAATGCTTATCTGTTTTCTTCATGTCTAACTATGGATGACTAAAAGGTGAGTGTCCAATTGTGGACAAAAGGCAATTTGCAATTGTCATTCATTTGTCATTTTTTCTTTTTAATTTTTAGTTAATTGTAGATGTTATATGAATTTGTTTTATCCCTTGAGCTTTTCTCTTAGTCTTAGGTCATTATTATATTGACTTTCATGACCACAATATTTAGGTACACAATACTAAATTATATAAGTTAAATTGGTTGTCTTAGTACTTTTGTTAGCATTACAATCATATTAAATATAAAACTAATCCTCTTGCCATATACAATTAATCATGCTGCTCCTGTTTTCCCTTCTTTCAACTGACTATTTTCAAAATCAAATAAACAAATAAATAGTAATAAAATAGTAATTAATTTAGCATAATCTGTGGCCTAATACTTGGAACTACTTTGGTGACATATTCAGCAACTTGATATACTATATATTATATTTTCATTCTTTCAGTAATAATTGAAAAATAAAATAATAACAACTATACACTATATCATCAAATAACTTTATATGTTATCAGCAAATAGCTTTTGTTAGGCAGGCTGAGGTGTTTTTCTTAAAACTAAAACCCACTATATATATGGATGGAATTTATAAACTAATGAACACTCGTTAAATAATATTTTGTCTAAGTTATAGAATCTAATGAAAAATGTTACCATATTTGACGAGTATTTCGGTATATCGTGATACTATGTCTTAAGATAGCCATTTTCTGTCGGCTCCTCAATTAATGTAAAATAGCGAAGCTTAATGACATTGATCACACCTATTGTCCAAGAAAAAAAATATTCATCGTCTTGATTCTTTTATTGACAATATTTTTTTTTAACACAATTGATCTGTTTAAGTCTATATCTATGATAACTTTTGTATATATATATATATTACACATATTTAATTAGTTTAAAATTTCTATTTTTCTTAAACTCAATATCCTCTGATACAGTAGAGTATATAATAAGTGCCCAAAATAACATTGGATGACAGCAAAAAACTGAGGAATCAAAAACAGGTCTTGGAATCTGTGATTTGCAAATTCAATAAACGTCTTTTTGTTTCATGTCATTTTCATTCAAATATTTTATGCAATTCAATTCAATTCTAACATTCCTATAATATTTTATTTTTGTTCTTTCACCCGGGGTTCAGTACATGTATTGTAGCTGAATTAAATTCATCATATTTAAAAGTTTTACGTTAAGGATAAAATGATTTCTAATAAAAATAATTTTGTATCCAACAATGCTTGAACATGAGATTTTCACTAACATGTACGATTAGTAGACTTCAACCTAGAACAAATTAGGATTACTATATACATAAATAATCGCTAACATGTACGTAGTTCTATTTAAACTCGTTTGAAAGGTTCAAAGTTGCCCTAGTAATTTATGAAACAATCTACTTTTTCTCTTCATTAAATCGCGATCCAATGTCACACTCTGAATTAATATTTCTAATTTTATTTGTTCCTTGAAGTGTAAAGGAATTTTTTTTAAAAAAAAAATATAGTTTCATCACAAGAGTCAATTTGGAAATGTGAACTCTATTATTACCACCACAGAATTCAAAACTCAGAGGTATGGGGAAAATGTGAAAGATAAAATATTGTTTCTTTAGGAAGACAAAATATTGTTTCTTTAGGTCTATTAATTGTAGCTGACACATAAAATGAGCTTTTTTTCTTGCAGTAGATGAGGAGAATCGCTGCCGTTTGCTTTTTTGTGCATACCAATAATACTGTATTAAATAAAAATACGATTTTTGATAAGATATCTCAATTCTCGCATTGATGAAGAATGTAGCTAAGTGAGCTATTTGATGTAAAAATGTAGAAATTCATGAACTATTGAATTTTTAAACGCAAGTTGTGTTCAAAGTCATTAGGCTGAGGACGCGTCTATCTGAATGTCACATATGTCTTAAAGGGGTGTGGATGCATATAAGAACTCTTGAATGAAAAAGAGATGTAACTTCAATTTCTTCAAAATCGATAGTCAATACTATTTCAAATAGAGGCAGTTGACAATTGAATTCAATTTTGATCATTATTTTCATATTTGTAATAGTGCGAAAAGAAGGTTCGACTTCAAGTTGTTCAAGAATAGTGGTGTTGAGTTTCTCGACCCTTTGACTTAGGATTAGTCAGTTCTATTTCTTGATGGGTGGGGATGAGATATAACTCAGCGGTAGAGTGTCACCTTGACGTGGTGGAAGTGATCATCAATTCGAGTCGAATTATCCCTACGCCTAGCGTGAGTTTTTCTAGTTGGATTTGCTCCCATGCCGTCATTCAATGAGTGGATAAGAGGCTCATGGGATTGACGTGAGGGGGCAAGAATGACTATTTCTAGGAGCGAACTCCGGCCGAATATGAAGCATATGGACATAAGTTGTGCCTTGGAATAAAAGACAATTCTAAATACGCTTTGTCTACAAACAAGGAAGCTATAAGTAATGCAACAACTATGAATCTCATGGAGAGTTCGATCCTAGCTCAGGATGAATGTTGGCGGCATGCTTAACTAATACAAGTGGATAGAAAACACGAAAATGATGTTTTCAGTTACGGACGAATGACTAATGTGTCAGAACTTGTCATTGGGACGCGAGATGATTCATACTATTCAAACTAAGTAAACTCACTAAATAAATAATAGGAAAAAAAATTAGTTAGAGAACAAAACTTTCTAACTTTTAAAATTAGGTTTTGGCAAAGTATAAAGTATTACTTTCTTTGTTTTAATTTATGCATCATTTTTTTATATTTTTAATATCTTATTTGATATATTGTTTAAACATATGTACATAATTAATATAAGCATTAGTTATGCATGACAAGTAAAAAAATCAAGATATCAAACATTAATAATATAACCCAAAAAGAACGAATATTGAAAAATATTGTAATATGGCAATAAGAAACAACACTAGCAATATAAGAACCATTGCATTTTGATTTTGGATTATTATTGGTCATTATCTTGATAAGAAGAATAAGGTGAATAAGTAAAGAGTAAGAGTTCAAACACAATGAAGTTGGTTGATGAAGTTGATTATTTAGTACCTCTGATTCTAGGAAAGAAAATCGTAGTACCTCTGATTCAAGAAAAGATAATTGTCTTAGCTTTTTTTTAATTTTAATTTTCTTTTTTTTGGGGATGGTAAGTTATTAGATGATTGGCGAAGAAAACTTAAATATACGGCTAGAGAAAGAAGTTATTCTTCGTAATCTAACTCATGCTTCTACTACTATTTCGTTCTATTGCGTCCATATTTGTATACACGATTTTCACTATCTTCAAATTATCTACAATTTATATTTTTTAAATGGCTTGAAATTTCTATATTTTGTCATAAAAACGTGAATGTTCGATATAGATCAAATCTTTGTTAAGACAGTTAAAACATTTTATGTTGCTGACTTATTTGTTTTAGCAGATTTGGGCTAGTTTTTTTAATTCTTAATACAAAAGTATATATTTTTTAAAATGCTGGTAACTAACTCATATATACACCTGTAATGACTTTTTTTCGATTTTACCGATCTTCTTCATGAATTTTTATTGCAATAAAAATTAAATGTTATAAGTTTATCTTTTTTTATATTCTTATCTGTTCAATGTGTTAACCAATATTGATTGAAAAATAAATTCATAAAAATATCATTTATTTGTAAGAATTATATAGTACTAAAATATCATATAATCGATATATAATTTTTAAAAATTGATATCATTTTCTAATAAGTTGAATTTTAGAAATTATCAATAAATCAATATTTATGAGACTGTTTATTAATTGATCGCACAATATGGGTATATACTGGTATATTATAAAACGATATGTAATCACCATTAAAAAATATTCATTTCCGGTTCGAATCCTACACCTAGAACCGTTCGATCAAAATCAACGGCTCAGATAGTTTAATATACCTTTTTACCCCTTCTTCTTCCCCTATTTCAATTCAAATCTCATCACTTCTTAACGGCTAGTTTGCTTTCTTCCTTAACCCTAACCCCCAAAATCCACCATTTCTGTACAAACAATGAAGCATTCAGTACAACCAAGAAGCACAATATTAAAGGAGAATCACGAAGCAATGTCGAGTCCAAACCCTAGCTCTACGAGGCAGAAATGGCTGACGCCACCGCCGTACCGGAAGAACAAGTTGTCTAAAGAGAATGCTCCTCCTTCAGATCTGAATTCTTCACCGGCTGTTCCCAGTATGAAGATGATGAAGAGTCCGTTACCTCCTAGGCATCCTAATTCTAATCCTTTGAAGCGGAAGCTCAGTGTTGAATCTGTTGGTTCGGAGATTGGCGCTGTTGCTGCTGGATCTTCCGACTCTGGAGTTAAAGTAAATTCCATGAAATTTATTTAATTTTCAGTTGAATTATGAATTGCAGTTTTTTTGAATTTGAATTTGTTGAAGAAAAATCTAATTTAACTTAACTGCTTTATAACTAAAATTTTATCATTTTACTATTTCTGTATTTGTCACTCTTAGTTTTCTTTCACTACTTGTTGTCTCGTGTGATTATCCAGTTATTGATACTACTTATGTTACATAAGTGTTGTGTTTTTTCCCTTTGAACTGAGGTAGGGATAAGGTCTGAGCATGTTGTACCCTCCCCAGACCACTTGTAGGACTATACTGGGTATGTTGGTGTTATTGTTGCTTTATCACTAAAATCTGATTTTCAAATGATGATGGAAGCCCAAAGGAACTAACTCATTTGACCTGTAAGATCAGTTTACTTGAAATATGTGTTAAAGATAAGATTTTTCACGCTTGGTAGTTGTTTTCATTGATAGAAACATACATTTCTTTCTGGTATCATGCTTTTGCTTGCCATTCTCTACCATCCGTGTTTATCAATTTCTGGCTCTAACGTATTATGTATGTGTGAAGTAGTATAATTTGTGAGCTTATGATCCTGCAATGATTTTAGGTTATAGTGAGGATGAGGCCACCAACCAAGGATGAGGAAGAGGGTGAAATTGTTGCCCAAAAAGTCTCTAATGATTCTTTGTCAATATCCGGACACAGTTTTACATATGACTCTATCGCTGATGTCCAATCAACACAGGTAAAATGAAATGTTTTGCTTGTAGGGAGATCAATTTGATTAAGTACTGCATGATAATTGAAAAGATACGTGCTTGATTCTTCCTTGTTGATGATGTTTGAACTTAATGTTTTTGAATTTGATAGGTATGCCTAGAAGTACGATATCAATTAATGTGAATGATTCTGCTTTGTTTTGATCTTTCAGCTAGATATATTTCAGCTTGTGGGAGCTCCTCTTGTTGAAAATTGCCTCGCTGGGTTTAACAGCTCAGTATTTGCTTATGGGCAGGTAATTTTAGCCTTATGTTTTGCAATATGCTAAATATAAACTGCAGGATGTCAGATATTCTATTGTAAAGTATTTTGCTGACATGATGTCCCCTTAATGGTTCATATGACTTGGATTAATCAGACTGGTAGTGGAAAGACATATACAATATGGGGACCAGCCAACGCCTTGTTGGATGAAAACTTAACAAGTGATCAACAAGGCTTAACACCACGTGTTTTTCAACGACTTTTTGAACGAATTGAGGAGGTGATATTCTGTTGTGTCTTCTCTTATATGTATGTTACCTTTTCTCAGTTGTGCTGTAGGCTGTATAAAATTTGTATGATCTTAGTGAATTCATTTCCTCTGCAGGAACAAGTCAAACATTCTGACAAGCAGCTTGCCTATCAATGTCGGTGCTCTTTTCTTGAGGTTAGGCAACTTGACTGATTCTTTGCATGGTGAATAAGGTCCTTACGTAACTCTTCTTCTAAGTTCTTGAGTACTCATGACTTGCAGATATACAATGAACAAATCACTGATCTATTGGATCCTAGTCAGCGAAACCTCCAGGTAGAAGAAAACTAACATACAGCGATATTGACTCATTATCTAATATCTGAGAATGCTATATTAATAAATTTTAATTGGCTCACTTTTCAGCTAAGGGAGGATGTGAGAACTGGTGTATATGTCGAAAATTTGACCGAGGAATGTGTTTCTACGATGAAGGATGTGACAAAGCTTTTGATGAAGGTTCAGACTGCAACCTTTTATTATAACATTGTGTGGACAAATGAATATTGCATTCACATCTAGGTTAATTGTGATAAAATACCAAGAAATAATAACTGTTGTGCAGTACATATTCTCGGTTTGTGAGGTCTCAGCCCCACCATTGAAAGTTGAGACTAAATATTCGTCACTGCCTTAGACATAGTGAAATGTCCATATATTTTAATGAAAGAAACTTGATCTTATCTTATTATCTTCTTTTTCTCCACTCTTTCTCACTGTTGTGATTTCCTCAAGGAGGAAGTGCAAGAGTCCTAGTTTCCCTTAACTTAATGCCCTTGCTTTGTTGAACCTCGCTGCAGTTTGTTGGTGTCCTTTTTTCTTTTTTCAATGTTGTGCTCCACATGAAAATAGAGGGGGTAACATATTTTACTTTTTCATCATCTCTCTTCTTTGAAGTTCCTGTCCAGTAACAGTGAAAAAACCTCTGGTTTCAATCTGTGCATTTGTTAAGTAAAGCCAGTTTTTTAGCAAGTAATATCTGAGATTAGTGCCAAATTTTCTCATCTGCATTCTTCTTTTGTTTCTTTGACTTGTATTATTTGAGCTGCCTCCTGAAGATGGCCTGATGTCCTTAGAAAAGCTAATAGAACTTGCTCAATGAATGTTACAGGGCTTGTCAAACAGGAGAACTGGCGCTACTAGTATAAATGCTGAGAGTTCACGTTCTCACAGTGTATTTACTTGTGTTGTTGAATCACATTGCAAGGTAATAACTTCTCATATCCTTATGACTATCATCTGATCTATAATGATCCCCTAGACCTTTAACCATCCTTTATTACAATAATCTGATCTCTATAAGAAATACTAACTGCCAAGTTGTGCATGATGTGTTCTTGTCATTTTTTGTTTTACAAAGCAGTTTTGCATATTCCTGTGGCTGTGAGAGGGTGCATGGAAAGACTTGCTACCTTCCAAGTTGTTCGTTGTATTTGAGATTTGAAAATGTTTGCTGTTGATCTCTTATAAAATTTTATTTTCAGAGTATGGCCGATGGCTTAAGCCGCCTAAAGACGAGCAGGATAAATCTTGTTGATCTTGCTGGATCAGAAAGGCAAAAACTAACTGGAGCAGCTGGAGAGCGCCTGAAGGAAGCTGGGAACATCAATCGCTCCCTGTCACAGCTGGGGTATGTTCTTAAGTTGGACAAATTCTCTGTGGTTTAGTCATCTACTCATAAACATGCATTTCATATTTCTCATTAGCTAATTGGATGAAGAAGAGAGGAACTTGGTCCATTTTAAGATGTAACGAGTTTTACTTCATTCAGCAATCTTGGCCTTGGCGCCATTGCATTGATCCATCTAGGGATCCTTTTCTTTTTTTGGAAGTTTTGCTTTCTTGGTATGATCATGCACACCTTGTGACAGGTAAAAGAGTTCTTTTATCTGCAAGTGAAAGCCACACACGTAGTGTAAGATTATTATTTGAAACAAACAATGTGAATGTTTTTCCTGCATTCTTTTCTTCCTGAACTGAAATTGTTTCTTCTAAATGATATGAAATGGGTTGTTAGAAAAGTCTGTGCTTATCATGGTTTTGGATAATGGAAAGTAGGTCTCCAATGGCAGCTTCCTAGAATCTGGGCATTTAAGACATGCTATATAGTACCGACTACCTATTGAATGCGTCAGATATACCTTTATGTTATGAATGAATGTGGGCGGGAATATTCTAGAGAAGAGAGTGCATGAGAAATTCATTTCCTAGACATTAAGGTCAGACGGTTGCCAATAAATGTCAAAAAGCTGGTTATACTGGTTTTTTCTCCTATAACTAAAATCATTTATAAGGACCGACTTAGGTTGACCATTTTGTGTACTAAAGGAACACTTCTGCTCCTTCGTATCTCCTGCCAAAGTTATACAGCATATCATGAGCCACCGTATCTTTTTCTCCAAAGTAATAGAAAAATAGTGAAGCTTAGCCTTTTCCTTTTTCTGTAAGAGTTTTGCAGAATTTCAATTCTTGTCATCCGTAGGGTGTCAAATCTGTAACTTTTTCATCTCTTTTCTCTTTTCTTTGGTTTGAAATTATATTTTTCACCTTCGCTTCTGATTACACGATTTTTCTTTTTGAGATTTGCAGGAACTTGATAAACATTCTAGCAGAAGTTTCCCAAACAGGAAAGCATCGGCACATTCCCTATAGAGATTCCAAGTTGACATTTTTGTTACAGGAATCTCTTGGTGGGAATGCAAAACTTGCAATGATATGTGCCATTTCTCCAGCCCAGAGGTAGAACCAGAACCATATTTGCCTCAATTGTATTTCATTGTTGTAAAGTTTACATTTCAATATCTTTAACTATTCTTAAAGTTCCCCACTCGTGGGATTACACTGGGTATGTTGTTGTATATGTAATTGTTGATAATTTGGAGTCCTTTATTCTTCTTGTTAATGCAGTTGTAAGAGCGAGACTCTCAGTACCCTGAGATTTGCCCAGCGCGCAAAGGCAATCAAGAATAAGGCTGTTGTCAATGAGGAGATGCAAGATGATGTAAACGTCTTGAGGGAAGTAATACGACAGTTAAAGGCAAACACCTAAACCCATTTTTGTTTGTATCTGTCTTAACAATTGGCTGGCGTATTCCTGTTTTTGTGAGTCTTGGTGGAATGAATGCCCTCGTTTCCTTTCTCTTTACAGGATGAACTGATAAGAGTGAAGGCCAATGGATCTCAAGCAGATCAAAATGGAAATCATTCATCGGGGTGGAATGCGCGTAGAAGCTTAAACCTTTTGAAATTCAGCCTCAACCGTCCAATGACATTACCTCCTCTAGATGAAGATGGTGACACAGAAATGGAGATCGTTGAGGAAGCTGAACTATTAGGTCTCCTACCGGGAGGAAGTAAAGAGGTTGGTATCTTGCGAAAAACTCTTTCCAAGAGTTTCTTGGTTGGTCCTTCTGAAGGAGGTAACGCGGGAAAGCACAGCTCATGCAAGGGAGAGGTAGGTTCTGAGGATGCAGACGTCACCATGGAGGAAGAGGTACCTGAACAAGTTGTCCAATCTGAAAACAAAGTTATTCATGGTGCTGGGCTGCAGAACTTAGAAAATTGTTCGATGGCTGAAGAATCAATTCACCAAAGTTGCGAAGAAGAAAATGTTGAGGCTGATTTGAAGAAATCCATGTCGAAGAGGCTTGATAGTGATTCTTCTCAAGATTGTTTGCCATCACTGGCCATTAATTTGCTCAATCAAGGAGTAAAAGGGGAGCTGGTAGAAGAAATAGCTTCAGAGCAATGTGAAGGCTACAATGAAAGAACTCCTGAAAACTCTTCTAAATGTTCAGAGGGTGATGCAGCCTGTAGAGACGTTAGTGTAGTTACAAATGATATATCTCCTATTTTGAAATCTCCCACTCCAAGTGTTTCACCAAGAGTTAATAGCAGTAGAAAAAGTCTAAGGACATCATCAATGCTGAGTGCTTCTCAGAAGGATCTTAGAGAGAGTAAGCTGGATGAACCACATTTTTCCTTCGCAAAGCCTTCAAACAGTATTTGTTTGGACTCTCAGGCTAATAAAAGTTGTTTTACATCGACTGAACATTTAGCTGCTAGTCTACATAGGGGACTTGAAATTATAAGTAATCGCCAGAGTACATCTTTGAGGCGGTCCTCGTTCAGATTTTCTTGCAAACCTGCTGATATTAGAGCAATTATTCCAGTTGCTAAAGTAGATGTTGGGGTCCAAACTATTGTTACAGATGATCAGTCATTTGAAGGAGGGTCAATTTTCTTGTGTAGTAAATGTAAGGAAAGGAATTCCCAGCAAGAGCTTAAATATGCCAATGATGGCTCAAACATGCAATTGGTTCATGTCGATGAATCACTGTTGGTACCTGCTGATGGATTACAGTTGGTACCTGCTGATGGATCACAGTTGGTACCTGCTGATGGATCACAGTCCTGCGAAAAGTTCAAGATTCAAGTACCCAAAGTAAGTTTGAAGATTTTATGAATTGTTTGGCTTTTGTATTCTGTCGTATTTATTTCTGTGCAATATTTTTACAGGCTGTAGAAAAAGTATTGGCAGGAGCAATACGGAGGGAGATGGCACTTGAAGAAATATGTGCCAAGCAAACTTCTGAGATCTTGCAACTCAACCGCTTGGTAGGTTTTGGTTGGTCAATTGAGCAACTTGCGACATTCATTATTTCCTTCATCTATTTTACATGTATTGCAATCAATGGGCAGATTCAACAGTACAAACATGAGCGAGAATGCAATGCCATTATTGGCCAAACACGCGAGGATAAGATTGTTCGTCTTGAGAGCTTAATGGATGGAATTTTACCAACAGAGGAGTTCATGGAGGATGAATTGTTATCACTCACTCATGAGCATAAGGTATGTGTCTGACTTGAACGTTGTCTATTAATATGTACAATTTTTCCTCTTGCTATACATGTCTAATTCATGATTTTCAGCTTCTGAAGGAGAAATATGAGAATCATCCAGAAATATTAAGTGCGAAAATTGAAATAAGAAGAGTTCAAGATGAGCTGGAACAGTATCGAAACTTCTTTGACTTGGGTGAGAGGGATGTTTTGATGGAGGAGATTCAGGATTTGAGAAGCCAGCTCCACTTCTATGTAGATTCTTCACCGAAGCCATCCAAGAAAGGAAGTTCTCCTCTGCAATTAGCTTATCCATGTGAGTCAAGTGAGCCTTCGGCTTTATCCACTATTCCAGAGTCAACTGAGGAGAGTGCTGAACAGAGACTTGAAAAGGAGAGGATTCAATGGTCCGAAACAGAGAGTAAATGGATGTCTCTTGTAGAAGAATTGAGGTTAGACTTAGAAGCTAGCCGCAGCATGGCTGAAAAGCATAAACAAGAACTGAATTTGGAGAAGAAGTGCTCGGAAGAGCTGAAAGAAGCAATGCAGATGGCAATGCAGGGACATGCACGCATGCTTGAACAGTATGCTGAACTTGAAGAGAAACATATGCAATTGCTTATAAGGCATAGGAAGATCCAAGATGGTATAGAGGATGTCAAGAAAGCAGCTGCAAAGGCAGGAGTGAGGGGTGCTGAATCTAAATTTATCAATGCTCTTGCTGCTGAAATTTCAGCTCTAAAAGTGGAAAGGGAAAAAGAGAGGCGCTATTATAGGGATGAAAATAAGGGGCTTCAGGCCCAACTGAGAGATACTGCTGAAGCTGTACAAGCAGCTGGTGAATTGCTTGTGCGGCTTAAAGAGGCCGCAGAAGCTATCACAGCTGCTGAGGTGAGTTTTTTGGAATCAATTGTTCCCAGTTTCGCTTTATTCTATCAGTATGTATTCTCTTGTCATTGCAACACCAACGCTTGCTTTCCCAGTCGTTTACAGTCAACACTCATTATGATGCTACTCCTTGATCATTATATAGTTCCTATATGTCTCTCTTTCCACCTGTGATCCCATCTTCTTTTACTTCTAATTCCAATTCTACATAAAGGGTCTCACATTTTCAATGTTTTTGTGTGAATATATCCCTGTAATTACAAGGCTTGTCATGTAAAATGAGTTAACACATCTTCTATAAAAATACTATACCAAGTACTGTGAGGAGTGTTTGAACTAACCTCACTGCAACCAGTATGATACAGAAATATTTCTTAACAAGGAAACAGTTCTTATTGTCTTCCACTTTCTTCTCAAAACAAGGAAATATTTCTTTTTATAATCTTACTGAAACAGATGACACTCTCTTCCTCCTTACCTCGAACAAGTATTTGCAATCAATATATAACCTGACATTTTCATCTGAATGTAGATATTATTTTCTGTTGTTTTGATCTCCTACAAACTCTTTTCTACAGTGTTTTATATCTTTCATGTTTTTCTTGAAATTATTATGGCTATGTCGAATGAGCATTTGGATCTGTTTTATGTTTGCTTACTTTGTTCTCTAGAAGAATGTCTATACTCATTGACTGTGGATAATGTAGTACCTCCACTGTATGTGGAAACTGGCTATGTTGGCTTGAGCTATTAGTGTTAAACAATTAATTGTGTTGTAGAATTACTTTAGGTGACGAATATTTTGACCTTTGCTTTTCATGATATATCATACGAGATTATAGCGGCTCATAGTGCCATTATTTGGTTGTCCTGAAGCACGTTACCCTTCTTTTGGATATGTATTGTTTGGCCATAGTTATCTGATAAGTTCTAATCTTGTGCAGAAACGAGCTATTGAGGCAGAGCACGAAGCTAAGACAGCTTACAGACAGATTGATAAACTGAAGAAAAAACATGAAAAGGAGATCAACAATTTGAATCAGTTACTTGAAGAATCCCGTCTGCCTAAAGAGAGATCAGAAGTCATTGATAATTCCGAGACAATAACATATGATGCAAGGGAGATGAATCATGGAGGTGATCAGCTGAGCAGAGAAGAATATGAGTCATTTTACAATAGAGAAGAGGAGGACTTGTCAAAATTAGTAGAGCCCTCTTCTTGGTTCTCTGGATATGATAGGTGCAACATATAGACTAGACAATATGTGATGTAAAGGTGGTGGGTGTTTGTTGTATGTACCAATAATAGTGTGTTTACATAGTTTTGGAAAGGTGTAGCTTTTCTCTTCAAATTTCAATGATAGGAATTGTCTCACCAATTGTGAATGAAACAACTTAATCTATCAAACTCTTATGTATCCAATTCCTTCAATTGATCAATAGGCCTAATGATTGGGTTTTTTTGTCCAATGGTTCAAAATTTATGTGAGGCATTGTGTTCGAATCCCATTCGTCGTATATCTTCCAATTTCATTAAACAAAATGATATGCTTTTTTGTTCTCTCAGTCTCAGATATCAACATGATCTTGCTTGCTTACTGATGTGGGCTTAATACAAGTGTTGGATTTAAGAGTCATCCACAAAGGTACATTTTCATTCTCTGAACCCTTGTGTACTAGCTGTTTTATCCCAGTTTTGAATTGGTATAGTAAAAATTATATGCTGTCAATCTTTTTCCTCCATTCATTTTTGGCAAGTCCATATTTCAAATATTGAAAACTATATGTGGATGTGGAAGATGGTATATGTGATATTATTATTATTTTCTACACAACATTGAAAATCATATGTTGAGGGGTTTGTGGGGAAGGTATCCATTGTTTTTCTTTATTCAAAAATTTGGAATGTGCATTATTTGGATAGGGTGGGACCTAGAAGTAGAGACAACAGGAACAGTGAAAAGATCCCAAGTATGAACATGTAGTAGCGTAGATCATTTATTTGCTTGGTTTTGGTGTCAAGAGGATAGGGGGCAATCTTCAAGTGGCTCAGACTAGTATGCCCATTGCATTTTTTTGTATAATATTTGGATGCCAAGAACAGACAGTCCATTAGTACTTTGGAAAACTTTGGCAACTTTGTTGATATTGTAGTCTATCATATCATGGAGACCATTAAACAATTAGCTTGTGGGATTGTCTACTCAGACATGTAACTCTCCCTACTTGTGGACCATTTCTCTTTCTTTTTTGCATAGTCACTTCTTTTTCACTCAAATACAAAAGATAGGAAAGATACCATGTAGGCTCTCATTCCCTAGCCATATATTAGCCATGGAATTCTTGTGGATCCCATAATTGCTTTCATAACACCAATGTTCAGACCACACCAGCTCGTATGCATCTCGAATATTTCAATAAGTATATATTGTGTTTTCACCTTGCCGTACCAAGGCAGATAAGATGAAATCACCTAACAAAATCGTATCTCTACACAAGTCCGATCAATTAAATTATTTAAATGATTTAATTGTTGATATATTTCTTTTAGCCCATTTATGTGATTAAGAAACACTACTAGATATATGTTTCCTAAACCAAGATGATATAGGTATGCATATAACAAATATTTATCCTTTTATTATAGGAAGGGATAGGCACCTCCTTCAATAAAAATCAATGGGGCAAATGGTGAGGAAAATGACATTAGTAGATGAAACCTACCATTTTAAACAGGAAAAGGAAATGGAACAGTAACATGGGGCAAGTCTTTGTGGTCCATTATAGATAAATTGTTTGTTAATTACTATATCTCATTTGGCCCATGGAGAAAAACAACTCTCTGCAAAAATAAATAAATATAAATTACAAAAGAAAGTGACTGTTTTTCTGTGGCTACAATGTTTTTCTTATTACAGTTTACCAAAATGGAAAAATAAAATACTGTCTACTTTTTTGCATAATGTATCTAAATGAAGTCAAATTAGATATTAGGTATATTGACATTTGCCCCATGGACTTTGGTTGAGCGGTAAGAGTGTAGCGCGTGATATATGGGGTCAGGCCTACGTCATAGATTCAAATCCTATCACAAATAGCTTTTTATAGCCCTTGAATATCCGAGACATAAAAAAAGCATTAACTATGCAATTCCAAAATCATTCCCAAAGCATTTTCGTGTTGGCGGTTCAACAAAAAGGCAAAGTATTGGTATTTTTCTTTTAATTACGAATGACACACTTTGCTTGCTCCCTCCCGTATCCACTAGCGCTCGAGAGCAAAAAAGCATTGTTGAAGCAGCATAAGCAGACTTCTATTACTACGTAATTATTATCATAAAGTTTCATATTCCATTAGTGAAACTCCATGAAAAAATGCATAAGAATAGTGATTATTTTTTAATTACATGATCGAAAAAGTGTTTGATAGACGTTATTTCTACTATAGAAACCTTATATTAAAGTAGAAAAGGATAAATAGGGTGGTCCATTACTCCCCCTAGTTTCGAAATGTGTGTAATGGCCCGCAAGATTTCTCAATTATATGAAAAAAAGGAAAAAGATGTAGGTATGAGAATACTTAATTTATTGAGATTCCCCTATCTTATTATTTGATCTTTGATTATAACATGATTTACAAAATCAAATTCAATAATGATATTGTTAAAGTAGTTAGTACTAATTAATGTCTTATTAGAGTAAAATGTGCTTTAATAAAATAATGTTAAGCAAGATTACATTGACAATAAAGCAAATCAATTTGCTATAATCCAAATCTAAGTACTTGATATAGACACATTTTAAGTAGAAATCTTGAGATATTCTTCTAAAGATTACAATATATAGATTTGATGAAATTAAATGAGGATGTAAAAGATATAGTTGGTGAAAGCAAAATGATGAAGTTGATTATTCAATCTTCACAATCACAACCTGCTTTTTAATAATTTATTTAATTTATTTATCATATGATAAATTTGCTGCTTAAGTTGAAAGAAAGAGACATAAAGTGAATGGAAGGTATGATATATACAGCATGATAGGGAAAATTATATTGACAGCCTGGTAATTGGACCCCTCTTCCAACTACACAACAAGGACTTAATAATCCAAAGTATAGTACATGTATTTTTTTTAATTATTTTTTTTCTATTTGATATCTGATATTAATATTGATGTTCGATCAAATTTAATTTCATGTCGAAAAGTTCTATATTGAGGTATAAAACACACTCTAACAAAGATGATTATGTACTCAAAACTTGTGATATTTGTAAGGATGAAGATGTAGTATTTAACACTACTTCATCACAATTCACAACCCTTATTGATAGGTTTATATTTGAATTCACGTCAAAAAAATTGTATTTGAATTCACATTTGTATTCGATATTTATATTGAGATCCGATTAAATTTGGATTTACGTCGAAACTTTTTATATTGAAGTGAAACATTCCCTAACAGATACGACTCTACACTCAAAATTTCAATACAAAACATCGGATGATTAAGAAGGAAGAGTATTTATTACTCTATCACAACCCCTAATATATAACATACACTTCAAGCTGTTTAATCAGCATACTAGTTATGCAGGAAATAAAATAAGTAAATTATTATGAGATAAGTAATAATTATAGCATAAAATTTATTATATGATGAATAATATAACATGAACTTGTGGCATAATGTATAAGTAATAATTTTCTAGCATGAGAGTTCAATGGTAAAGTCAAAAATTTATTAAGAATATTCAAAATTTAGTATCTTACATTTGAAACATAATGCTTAATTTATATATATCGAATAATTTTTTGATTAATGATATTCAATTGATCATCTCTCACTACACGTAACTACGCCTCTACATAAGACTAGCTAGTATGCAAATGTCACATTCTTAACCCCCACCCCCACCCCACCCCACCCCACCCTTATCTCAAAAAACAATTGGTTGATCAATAATATTCAATTATAACCAATTTATTCAATCAATCCCTCTCAAAATACTTCCCTTTCATTGTGGACCCTAATTTTTCGTTATGTCCGGAGTTAATTATGGGAAATGCTATTATTAAAAATCTATTCATGCAGTCAAAATCCATCATTCTTTTTTAATTTTTTTTTTTTAAAAAAATTCTTTTGTTCATGATTTTAATTATTGGTTTGGTATGATTAAAGGTGATTTAACAAATAACTGAAATCTTTTTATTTTCACCAACCAAATTGACTTTATTGAGGACTAATAATAAAGGAAGATTCATGTATCTTCTTTTCCAGAAGTATCTTTCAAGCGTTTGAAAAAAAAATTAACGTCTTAACTGACTGTCCATTCAACTATTTGAAATAAAAATAATCGATAGATATATAACATGTTTACCAACTAAAAAGATAAATAATAAAATTGATTAACTATTTATACAAAAGAAGGAAAATATTATTACATATTTTATATTAAATCAAATGATTTTTTTAATAGATTTTAGAACAGCCTCCAAAAACAAGTTATATGGATGAAGATTTCTTTTTGTTGGTGTTTATAAGATGTTAGTAAATTTGCTGACAGCTTTTCATGGAGAAAAAAATATTAAAGCATTTCTACACATCTGAATTCCACTACTTCTTTTCTATTCTTTTATGCTTTTTCTACTTATCCATTTCTCCCTGTCTTTTTTGTTTCGTATTCATATTATGGTCTCGATTAATTCAAATCGTAGCGTACAAGGCTCGAGCGAAGCAAGAAGTCCAAACACAACCTCGTCTGTATTGAATAATTTTTATTCAAATAAAAATTATAAAATTGAAATTCACCTCCAATAAAATTCAAAGAAGCACTCTCACAATAATTTTTTCATACTCAAGATTTGAATATTAGCTTAGCCAGAAAATATATATCAAAAAGTTTACTAAACATTTGTAAATATTTGAATATGAATCCACATACTGCTTGTGGGAGAGGTGGGGCTAACCTATTATTTAGTAATAGCTTTATTTCTTCGTGTTTATTATTATACATTGCTTCATTTGTTTTGTATCATATTATTTTATCGACTTATTTATGTATCCTTCTTCAATTTCTTTCTTTTTTTTGAGCCGAGGCTCTATTCGAAACAACCTTCCTACCCTATAAAGAAAAAAAATAAAGTCGACGTACATCTCATCTTTCCAAAAATCTTTAAAATGTCATATTTATCTCACTATAATCCCTATATATATAAAAAAAAAATCCATTATTTATTTCCTTAAGCAGAAGGGATTTTCACAAAAGTCATCTGATTCCTTAGCCAAGTCAGAACTTCACCATTGCCAACCTGGTTTTACAATGTTGATTCTTTTATATATATATATATATATATATTACTTAACAGAGTTAAAAATTTTACTAAACAACAAATTATTTTAACAATATACAAATTATGTAATTTTCTGTCGATCCTCCCTTGCTCTGCCTCTATTTCTTTACGTAACTTAAGTCAAAAGTCTTTTGAAAACATTTTTTCTATCTCTATAAGATAGAAGTAAAATATTTCTAGACTCTACCCGTAAGATTATACTGACTCCATCATTGTTATGAATTATTGTGAAATTTAGTTGTATGAAAGTAAAATTTAAGGAGATTAATTAGTAGAGGGGGCTTTGGATTCCAGCTGAATTGCACTAATTTAACAAGACATAATTCTTAATCAAAACAACTGGAGTTAATCAGACACAATTTGTTTTTGTCCCCACTAACAGCTGTTTTCTAATAACAACAATCCCATCTTTTCCACAACTCACGCTACTTATTAAGGTGGTTTTTTAAATCATTTTTTTCAATTTATTTTGACCCCACTTTTATGATTATGACATATATTTATCAATTTTTAAATAAAAATATATAACATAAGTAGCATAACTACTTTTTATTTTACAATTTTACCCATTTATATATATAAAGCTTCCCACCATTTATTTACACAAAAACAATAATCATAGAGATTGATTTTTTAAAATATTTTTTGTAGAATTAATTGCTCTAACTGAAAAAATATTTATTCATATCCATTATTTATATCAATTCGAGTTATATTATTCCTAATTAGGCCTCAATGTAAATATCGAAGGCAGATAAAAAAATTATGGGAAGAGAAAAACTTAATATTTGTAAATTCCAATATAATTGGTTCAATTTATTATTATTATTATTATTATTATTATTATTATTATTATTATACATAAAGAGTATAAAATAATTTTATTTTGTGAAAAATAAAACAATAGAGACGTGCAAGTATACGCTCTCCATGGTTGGCGCATAATTTAGGAGTAAAAGACAATTTTCAAGATGGAGATTTTTTTGTCAATGTCTTTTCCGTTTATTATGTTGTTTCGATTTGCCTAATGTTATTTATTTTTTCTACATAATTTGAGAACTATTGCACAGGAGCGAATTTCTGGGGTTCCAAAAAATAAGATTTGCCAAATAAATATAAAGAGGAAACTAAATGAAATATAACAATTTTGTCTTGAATATATGAATTAGTGATAAAATTAAAATGGTAAGAAAATATGTGTTTAACAAAGTACATATCCATCCTCCCAACACAATTTCTTACCAAATGAGACTACAAAATATTTTACAAAGTGCAAATCTTGGTAGAGTTTGCTAATTGCCTCTCCAATTTTTGTTGTAAGAATTACAAGAAGGAAAGAAAAATAATTAAAATAGTAATAATAACAATAATCAGAATCAGCCAAATTAATCACTAAATAGATCAAGAATTTTGAAGAGAGAAAATATCTCTTTAATTTCTTCTTTCTTCTTGAATCGCGATATTTGATCTGAATAGGTCTTAATTGCAAATTTTCTCTCTCTTTATGTACAAAGCCTCTCTTATTTTGGGGCCTCAAATAAATTCATCAATTTTTACTAGGCATTTTTTGGGTCACAGTTCAACTTTCATTTGAGAATTAGGTACATAATTGCCTGCATTCAACAAAGAAAAAAAAAGTTGAACTCTTTGTATAATAATCAATAGGTGCGTTTTTCTAAGCGAATCAATCTTTTTTATACTGCCAGTATAAAAAAAATATTTATACTAATAAATCATTTAAAGAACAAATCACAATAAGACAAGTTACCTGCTACACTCTGAAAACTTTGGTTCTGATTTTGGCCAAATCCCATTTGAACAACACTATTGAGATCATCCTCAAAGAATGTGGGGACCTAAAAATAAACAAATTAAACTTTCATTTAGTATTTTACAATTTTTTAAATAAATTCCTATGCTGCCCGGATCACCCTAGATTAATCCTCGATATTTAGATGATCCGACACAGATACGACAACATTTTTGAAGAATTCGAACGACCAGGATTAGATTTATTACCTGAGGGGTAGGTTCAACAAAACCATCTAGAGGAGGCAATTGCATGCTTGAATTTCTGATTAAATTAGGATTCAATGAGTTAATTGGGAAAGGAAACTCTGTTCCTTTATGATAATTTTGGTTTGGTTGAGATTGAAATCCATAAGGAAATCCTTGTGTTGATGTTTCTGATTGATACATGTTATGAGCCAATGATCCCCTAGATTGAAACATCTGAAAAAAATAGCCAAAAATATCGTCAGGTACGTGTCGGAATACAGTAATATTTCTAAAAAGTCTGAGTAACGGAGTTTAATTGACTTACATCTTTGGAAAGAAGTGCTTCCATATTAAAGTCCATTCTTGGATTCACAGTAGCTAATTTCATTGAAAGGAACTACAAAAATGACATTAAATAAGTATAAGAATTTAATAATATAGTCAAGGAGTTAATATGACTCTCTTAAAGTTTAAGTGTATTACAGTAAATTCGATCATAATTTACCTCAACTTGACGTTGAAGTGATTGTACATAGTTAATAATCTCATCAAGCATCACAGCTTTTCCAGTCACCTATAGTAAAAATTTCAATTTCCCATATTAAAATTATGAATTTACTAGCAAATCAACAAAATAATTATTATTTTTCCAAAAATTAAAAAATCACCTTATTGCAGCCTGGTACAAGATCTTGTAAAAGCTTCATTCTTTCACTAATTTTCTCCCTTCTCACCTGTCAAGTTGAATAAACAATGTATTAGAAAAAAACGTTGTCACATCTGTATCAGATCCTCAAAAAATACGACATTTTGAAGAACCCGAGCAACTAATTGAAGTTGTTACATACTCTTTCAGCTAGACTATGTGCATCTGTGGCCTGTCCCCTTCTAGCTCTCACATGAATATAGTCCTTTGGTGGCTCTGTTGCCTTTTGGTTATCTTTATTTTCTTCTAAAACAGCTTTTTCCTCTTCTTTAGTTACTTTATTTTCATTTTCCTCAGACTTGCTTCTTTTGGCATTTGATTCATTTTTCTCCTGCAAAATTAAGTATAAAAAAAAATAAAAATATTAGTACTACAAATTTCCCAAGTAATAGTTATTATCTCAGAAAGTTCCTATTTTTTTAGGCGACTTTCTGACATAGTAACACACTGTTTGAGCGACCAGCTAAGAAATAAACTCTGACTTACATTGACAATCTTGGATGATTTTCCCTTGGAAATTGATTTTCTTTTTCTTGAATTGGTATCATTTTGACCAATTATTTGCTCAGAAAGTGATGAATTTTCTCTTGAATCTCCAAATTCTGAATTTCTTTGAACCAAATTGACATCTTTGAAATCTTGAATCTTGATAGAATGATTACTTGAAAGTTGTCCACTTTCCAAATTTGTAGCAAAACAAGAAAATCTAGCAGCTCTTTCAGCAAATCCAGGATCAGTAGTAAATTGTGTTGGTGGTAAATTTCCTCTCATAGAAAGATTCAATTTTGGTGGAGAATTTAAAGGGGTAGTATAACAAGAATTATTAGTACTACTACTATTATTATTATTATTGTTACAAATACTTCCTAGTCTACCAATTAATTCCCTTAATACAAAATTATCACCACCGCTATTATTATTAGGAATTGAAATAGGAGAAGATACCATTGAACTTAATGCTGACTCAAATGGATCAGAATTATTGTTATCTAAATTGGGATTAAAGAAACAATTTTGAAGATGTTCATAGGTAGTGTTATCATCATTTATGAACACATTTCCCTTTTCCATTTTGAAAAAAAACAAACCCAAAAGGCTAAAATTGAAGAAGTAATCAAGAGGAAAAAAGGGTAGAAATTTTCTTGGAAAAAAAATGGACACAATATTTTTTGGAGTAGTAACAAAATATTAGAAGAAAGTGACTTTGTTGTTTGAAAGGAAAGGAAAGGAAATATGTAGAGAGAATTGGAAGAGAAAATGAGGAAAGTGAGATTGAAAAATATAGGAGGAAAGTGTAGAGGAAAGATAAATAAAATAGACAATATGTGTTTGACCTTTTGTTAATAGGTGGTGGGACCCATGTAGGACTTCTCGATACGAATTTAATTTAATCAGATTTCAATATAAATATCAGACTTCGAACGAGAAAAAAATAATTAAAAAATAGGTGGTGGGTGAGATGGGATATGGGGGAAGTAGGGGGGTGGTTGCCGGGCCTTAAACGCCAAACTAGCTGATGTTTATTTTGTTATGGGAATTAATGAAAAAACTATATAGTATTTCAAAATGTCCCAAATTTAGGTATGTAGTACTAGTATGTACATCAATTTTCGTTATTCATCACAATTCTAGTTCATTCGTATCTTTATCGTTAGCAATTTCTTTTATTTGTCTTATCACAAACATAGACTAAAAAGTAGCTTCAATGTAAAAATAGATAGATTTCACGTGTTCAAATAATTTTACGAGAAAAGTGAATTTAATTTAGGTCTTTGAACCTGAAGTAGTAATATTTGTAGGGAAAAAAAATATAATTTTCTATTCCAATTGTTCCTTTTTTAGAAGAATCGATAAGAAACAAGAAATATTTCAATGCGATTGGATTTCATACTAATTCCATAGTATAGGAACTATTTCGATTCTAGTGAAGTTATAAAATTAGAAGAACTTGAGAAATTTTGATACAGAGAGTTGTCAAGAAATTTTAGTAATAACTGATCGTTTCGATCTTTTGGAACAACTCGATGATTTTGTAAACCATCTTAAAACTGTGCTTGAAGTTAAATTGAAATATGTTATTTGGAAATTGAAATTGAGTTTTAACTTTATTCCACTTTAAAACAAAGTAACAATATTGCATTTCATTTTCTTGTTCTTTGCTATTTATTTCATTTTTTGTTTTGTTTAGAGGAAAGAGATAGGAAAGCCTTTGTGCTTTTGGCATTTTTTCCCCACTTAAGTTCCTTCTCTTTCTTCTTTTTCTAATTTTTAATTAAATAAAATATTTTTCTCTATGTTTTCTGTCTTCACTATGTATTTATGGAATCATTTTATTTTTAAAATGACAAAAACTCCACTCATAAAGATGTCACATTAATGAATGGATCTAAGTTTTTTTAAAAATTGTTAGATAAATGATACAAATGTAGATACGTATTCATACGGGTTATTTCCGGTGTTATGACGATAACATTTACATAAATATACCTTTGTCACTGATTAGAGGGTACAAATTCGAGTCTGATACTTTGATTCTATGAACATGGTAAGAAAAAAAATCAAAAAAAAGAAAATTTTAATTAAATGTAACGTGGAGAAAGTGCAATAAAGTCCCTTTTCAATTATTTTTACAGTATTTTAGTTATTCTTTATTTCTCACTTTGTGGCGGCCTTTATTTTCCTCAAAGAATTATTTATTATACATAAAATAAAAAGTCTTGGTTGGCCTATTTTTTATATTTATATCTTTGTGAAAGAGTAATGAGGAAAACAGATCTAAATGGGTCTATTTGGGACCCACAAGAAAAATATTTAAAGCAAACAAAAGGTTTTGAAAAAAAAAACTATTTTTTAAAAATCTTTATATTTAAGATTCATTAGCACTTGGTAGTAGAATTGGAGTTTACTTCTTCACAAAGTAATTAATAGTAGTATATAGAAAAGTATATACTACGAAAATTAGGAGCATATTATAATATATATATAGATGAAATTAAAAAATATGTATATAGTGTATAATGATATATCAGAGATATACTAATTATAAAAAATTTCTTTTTTGCTTTTGAAAATAATTTTGTTAGTGTGAATTTGTAATATCGTCGATTATCATGATCTCATACTTATGAATAAATATAGTTTGTAATAACATAATCATATAATCTCAAGCGATCTTCTTTTATCTATCTTTTTTATATTATATGCACTTTTCACAAATATGCGTATTTTTTTTATCTTGTATGACTATACTTTTACCTTTGATTTATGTTTTATTATATATATACACACACATAAAGCCCCTACTTTGTTAAAAAAAATTCTCCATAATTCAATATTTTGATTGTTACGCTCCTTATTTCATCAATTAACAAAATATAATACATACAATATATGATCTCATAATAATATATTTTCAGTCAGCTCATTTTTTGGTATAATTGAAATTTTTATTAATTAAAAATTAATCAATTGAAATATTTTGTACCATAATTTCTTCTTTCTGGCTGTACTCAATATAATTATAGTGGCAGAGGGTTGTTGATCCAACTATTATTCAAATAATAAAGTAAATAAAAGCATCTTCTAAAGCTTCTTTAGGAATAATTGATTACAATATTTTATTATTAGGATTAAGTGAAAGTAGCAAGTCAATAACATACGATTGATTTAAGTGTAATTAGTTGTGTTTAGTTGGAATTCATTACTAAATTACTAAAGGGAAGAAGAGGACAATGATGTAGAATAACATAATAGAAGACAAAAATAGTTATATATTGTATTTTTACTTCTATTATGTAAATTAATTATTGCTATTTTATGTACAAACTTTTGATTAAGCATGCCAAATGTAAACCTTTTTTCTTTTTCTTTTTCTGTACTTGTTTTCATCTTGGGAAATGTAAAGGAGAAAAAAATGTCTCCTCATTTCTGTTTTTATCCACCATAATAATAAAATGGATGTAAAGGAGTTTATCGTAATTGTGGGTTTAAGTAATTATTTAATAAATTAGATATAAAGGAAATTTATTTATTTTTAATCTCGACCAACTCAAATCTCCTCTAAACAGTACTAAAATTTAGATACGAATTCACGTTTGTGGTATGTTAAATTTATAATTGAACTCCTCTGAACAATACTAAAATCTACATACGCATGTTAAATTTATAATCGAACTTTGAAGAAGCTTCAATAGCTTATAGTGTCTTTTATTTTTGGTCAATTCAAAATCTCTTCTAAATAATCCTGAATCTTTGCGGCGCGTCAAAATTTATAATTGGTGTGTATATACTCCATGAGTGTAAATATTGATTGGATTCTTTTTCCTCTCTAGTGTTCTTGGTGAAAGATTATTCTATTCTAATAATTTTATGGAGTAGGTGATTGTAGAAGGTTGTGTAGGCTTCGATGGGCTAGAAAACCTATAACGATCTTGTGCTAATTATATAAATTTATTTTTTGTGTTTCATTAAATACTCTTTTCCCATAAAGTCTACTAGTGTCAAGTATGGAAGCTCGATTACCAAGTTGAAGAACAAATGTTTTTGATTAGAGCACAAGAAAAAAAAAACAAAAAAAATAGAGGTGGTTTGCCTTAATATAGGCCTAGTATTTTAATATCAACTTACTTAATTTGGTTCATTATTATTTATTTTATTGTTGTTATGGTTGCTCTTTAATTTTTTAGGTAGACTTTGCACTGTTTTGGTATACTTTACTATATTTCTTCTTTGTAATGTATTTGGATTTGTGCATCTGAGCTGAAAGTCTTCTGGAAACAACCTGTCTACTTCCACGAAATAGTGGTAAGATCTGTATAATTCTACCTCTCTAAATCTCATTTATGGAATTTTATTGGATATTTTATTGTTATTATTATTGCTCTTTTTGATAGACTTTGCATTGTTTCTTTACACTTTTCTATATTTCTTGTTTGTATTTGTATTTGGATTTGGATTTGTACATTTGAGTCGAAAGTTTTTTGGAAATAATTTCTCTACTTTCACGAGATAGTGATACGATATGTGTGATTCTACCTCACTTGTGGAATTTCATTGGATATATTGTTGTCGTCGGTGTTGTTGTTCAACCAATGTTTATGTATTATTGTGTATATTGAATATATATAATCTATATGTATATCAAAGTAGAAAAAGTAAATGATAAATTCACTCGATTATTTATGTAAAAATCCCGATTAATTATTCACATATTTTAATCTAATAAGGTATTATTTTGTGTGAATTCATCGTGTCGGTTTGATCTATTTCACAAATTGAGTAGACTTTTTGACTTAAAATGACAAGTAATAGTACACAAATAACAAATAGAGTACTTTCTTTTTTTTCAGCATAAAATACGTGTCTTTACGTGATTTAATAATAAAAATTTCTTTTAATTCATGAAAATATAGAAATAAAAAAAAATAAACTGTGAGTAGTAGCCCATAGAAATTGTAATTCTATTGGTGGATATTATAATTTTGTTTTATTTTTCCTTCCTTTTAAGGTAGTTCTGCTAAATTTACTGGATTGACCACGTGTTGTAAATTTTTGGTCAATTCCCATAACCTGTAGAATCTGTATTTTTCAGTACTGTTACTAACAGTTAAAAATAGTAAATGCTATATGTACGTAGAATAATAATTTTGACATCGATTGATTTGTCTCGATTTTTGATTGATGAACAAGAACGAAAATGAAATAATTTTATTTTAGAGTCGTAGTTGCTACGTGACTTTTGGACCCTTCTCTCCGTCCGTCATTAGTTATATATTATTAACGTTGAACATAAATACATAAAAAAAAATATTAGAATTTGAAAAATATTAAATTATGAACACATAATTAAGTTCAAAATTATTGGATATGAACCATCAAATTATCTTATTTTTAATATCTTCTTATTGACTTAGTTACACCACTCATTGATATAATTGATAAGTTGAAATGTCTATATCTCGATCTGTCGATCTTAAATTTTGAATTCGTCTCCATTAAAATACACTTCGATTAATGATTTATTTATTTATAATATAAAATTAGAGCAAATGCGTGAATGCATTGCATGGATTTGCATGGGAGTTGAAAGAACAATAAAGACAAAAAAATCTCATAATATAATATAATAAGTATGGTTTTGCATTTAATTTATTTATATTTATATTTATAATTATTTATTTATTTTGCTGACCAAAACCAAACTTTTCCTCTAACAAGCCACCGCCCCAAATCTTTCATCTTACACAGTTACACGTTAATAAATTTTTCTTCAA